GATATGAAAAGCAAAGAAAAAAATAGCTGCTTTCATAGTCAATAAAGCTATAACAAGGACAGTACTTGGGAACAATGCAATCAATGACTGAATAGTATCAATTATACTTCACAGGCAATCCCTTTATTATGATGGTTATCCAAGTTTATGCTCCAACCACTGATGCAGAAAAAGAGGGGGTTAACTACTTTCATGCTCAAATCTGAAATTGACAGAACATGTAAGCAAGATGTGCTGCTTGTGGTTGGAGACTGGAATACCAAAGTTGGAAATATTACAGAGGAAAATGTAATTTGACTGTGGCCTAAGAAACTGAAATGGAGTAAGAAGACAATTTATCAATTTCTGCCAATCCAACTACAGTGATACCTCGGGTTACGAACTTAATCTGTTCCATGACTCTGGTCGCAACCCGAATTGGTCGCAACCCGAAGCAAATTATTCTTGCCCCTCGGGTTATGAATGCCTCTGTTAACAAACTTTTTGGGTTACGACCAGCTCCGGCCGCAAAAATTTACCTCGGTTTGCGAACTCCGCCTCGGGTTACGAACTTAATCTGTTCCATGACTCTGGTCGCAACCCGAATTGGTCGCAACCCGAATTGGTCGCAACCCGAAGCAAATTATTCTTGCCGAACAGATTAAGTTCGTAACCCGAGGCGGAGTTCGCAAACCGAGGTAAATTTTTGCGGCCGGAGCTGGTCGTAACCCAAAAAGTTTGTTAACAGAGGCATTCATAACCCGAGGTACCACTGTATTTCTTTTTTTGTTTCTTTGTCTGTAATAATTCTGTTAAAGTTTACAAATACAAAGATAAAAGACTAATACAAACTAAGAAAAATATAAAAAGTGAAGTAAAGCAAAAGAAAAGTACTGTACAAAGAAAGAGAAAAAAGAAAAGGAAAAAGAAAAGAAAAGGAGAAATACAAAAAATGACTCCCCCCTCCCCCCAGATAGGTATAAACAACTTCAGGAACTTAACTCCTTCTCTGGTATTTAATAATTTTAAAAAATCTCTTCTGCCATATCTCATCTCTTATCAATAAGCAAACTGTAAAAACTCATCATTGAGTCCTAGTCAGCAAAAGTCCATTAAGAGCTACCAGAAGTAATAACATATATATTTATCCTTAATCAGATAAGGATAAAATTTATATTCCAACTTACTTTTTCTGAAGAATAAAGCAAAAGATATCTCTCCCCATTTATAAACCAATCTTCAAAGCCTTGTCATTCACAGCATATATATTTTAACCCAGATCAAATAAATTTACTTTATAGTCCTTCCATTTACTTTTAAAAAGCTTGATT